TTTTTTTGCACCCTCAGATTCCAGATTTTCAAATAGTTGTATCTCGGCCAAATATCCTAACAAACCATACATCAATGGAAAGCTTATTTATTCAGCTTTCAGATGATGTATAAATCTCAATTTCGAAAAATTGACCCTTATGACTGGTTTTGTGGTTCAGGGTCACATTTGGCTTTGGTTATTAATATTTTCTTTTTATAATGTTTTTTTTATGTTTCTTATTGATTGGCTACAGCTCCACAATGGCACTGCAGTATAGCTGCACTGTAAATCTGCCACATCAACAAGTGTCCACAAGGTGGCATAGTCATGAAACCCCTGTCAGTCAGAGAGCTGTCACAGTTGTCAAGAGTGTAGATGATGTTAGTAAGACAATCAGTCCACATACACTGAAAACAATCCATGACTAGAAACTAAATGTCCGATAAAGAGGATGCAGGTATTGTATAGAGGGTGTGATGAGTTGAACCTAAACAGAAAGCACAGCAGAAGCTGGACACACCTTTGAGCTCCAGACAAAGCAAAGCGGTTGATCATTTCAAATCCTCTGGGATGTGATATTTTCAACAAAAGGGAGTTCAGTCAGAAACAGAGGAATATCAGTGTACAGTTTTATTCACAATAGCTTTTTGTACCTGACCTGGATAAAGCTAAAGGGCAGACAAGCATGCAGTCATGACCCAGTCATAAAAAATACAGTTTGAAATCACCATAAACATTACATTCACTGAATTCTCACAGGTTAACCAAACCTATGGAAAAGAAAAACAATTCTGGAAATGAATTATTAGTTCATTTTCCAACATGACTGAAATACTCATTATGTATATTTATTAAGAAACATTAATTAAAAAATTATTAAGAAATGTTATACTAATTGTTGAATACCAAAAGCGGCAAACTGACCATTTTGAAGAAACTCTTTGAGAATCATAGTTATGGCTCTGTCTTTCAAGAGGAATTCCCTTTTTTGTATGTATTGAAAATGTGCTTGGTTTCATCAAGGGAATGTCCTGTATGTGGTTGCTGTCCTAAGAAAAGAACAGTGGGTACCTTTTTGTTGAAATAAGTGTTTAACTATGATGTAAGTACTAGCGTTAGTCCCAATATTCATAAAAAGAAATTATATCTCTCCTTGTTAAGTGACCAACACCTTTCTTTAACCCCCTACCTGGCGACAAAGTGACTACACCCGCCAAAAACATTATACCTCTGTTAAAGCATATTGGGAAACACATAAAAATAAAAATAAATTATAAATAGTGAGGACAGTTGAATATATACTATTCATACAATACATTTGAAAATACTGTCTCATATCAAATCTCTTATGTTTCTTTGTATTAAAATCTATTTTTATATCAAATTCATCTAATACCCTTATTTAATTTGTTAAAGGGATAGTTTTATTTTATTTTTTTGTCATTATTTACTCTTTCCTGTCGTTCCAAACCTGTATTTTTTCTGTGGGAACACAAAAGAAGATATTTTAAAACATGTTGCTAATAAATCAGTTCCATTGTATAGACAAAAAAAAAACATGTCTCACACATTTCTCAAAATAATTTATTTGAAGTTCCACAGAAAAAAGAAAGTCATACAGCTTTGAATGAGGTCATACAGGTTTGGGGGAAAAAATAATGACCGAAATTTCATTTTTGGGTGAACTATGCAGCAAATAATTATATATAACTAAATTGTGATTAATTATTTTATAATGAATAAGAATTCTACTTCATCAAACATTAAAACTGAAATAAATGATTAAAAATGATATATTCCATTATTGTCCAAATACATAACCCTACAATGGTATTGTAAATTTCTATTATTGAACTGTTGAATGACTTGCTTGACCCGATTGAATAGGATGAATTGAAATCTTAAGACCTTAATGAGGAAAGAGGCCTGACATACGTTTATTTCCATGCACCAGTTTCAGGTGTGGTTCTAGCAACTATCTGTTCAATCAACAATTGATGAATTGAATATTGATGACAAAATTGTTTTGTAAACTTAGTTACCAGATCTGAATAGATATCAGTGTGGAGATCGCTGGAGAGTCCCGTGTTGCTCTGTCTTTTGTCATGTTTTCTCTGACACCCTTCTCATCTATAAATACCCAATCTGGAAGAATCTGCAAGAAAGGAAGAAGTTACTCATCAGGAGTTTATAGATCCAAAAGGTAACGTTTCTTTTACTCTCTAAAATAATCTGATATAACATTTTTATTATTTAAAAAAACAGACTAGTTTTTGTCTTAAAATATATTCATATTAGATGAAAAAAGTCTGAAAGAAGTGTTTGCTTCATTGGTTTGTATTTTCTAATGGTTTGTCTTTTTTAGTTTGCCTCAGGATGATCAGAATAGTCCAGCTGTTGTGTCTTTCTGGCCTTCTTCTACTGTGTGAAGGTCAGGGTCTCCAGACATGCCTCACTCACCCCACGTACAGACCCGCAGGTTAGTGCTTACACTATTTTCTTAATCAGATCTGTCTCATTTTCCAGGAAAAAAGATCTAAACATTGTGAAAAAATGATACATTTACTTGAGAAGCAAAACTGTAGAAGATATAAAGATGTATTACACTCTTAACTATAAATGTGCTTAAAAGGTTCTTCACAGCGATGCCATAAATTAGAAGAACCATTTTTGGTTCCACAAAGAACCATTCAGTCAAAGGCCATCTCTTTCTTACCTTTTAATAATCTGAAGAACCTTCTTTCGCGAAACAGAACCTTCTTTTGTGAAACAGAAAGGTTCTGCAGATGTTAAAGGTTCTTTATGGAACCATTTAGACAAAAAGGTTCTTCTATGGCATCGTGAAGCACCTTTATTTTTAAGAGTGTGGACAACACATTTTGTTATTTGTAACTTTTGGATTTATATTATGTTCTTACCAGGGCCGTGCACAGGGGTGTGGCCCGGTGGCTAGAGCCACTGCCCCTTTGCCCTCATCGGCTGAGTTGCCCCTCTCACCAATCCCCCCATCACCCCAGCTCAAAGCGGTCTGTTCCCGCTCCGCTAAAGATCCGCACACTCTTAAAAATAAAGGTGCTTAAAAGGTTCTTCACAGCGATGCCATAGATTAGAAGAACCATTTTTGGTTCCACAAAGAACCATTCAGTCAAAGGCCATCTCTTTCTTACCTTTTAATAATCTGAAGAACCTTCTTTCGCGAAACAGAACCTTCTTTTGTGAAACAGAAAGGTTCTGCAGATGTTAAAGGTTCTTTATGGAACCATTTAGACAAAAAGGTTCTTCTATGGCATCGTGAAGCACCTTTATTTTTAAGAGTGTGGACAACACATTTTGTTATTTGTAACTTTTGGATTTATATTATGTTCTTACAACACTGGCAAAAAGATTAAATACATTCTTAAAAGGTCAGCCAGTGAATTAAGAAAAATAAAGGGATAAATTCTCATTTTAGAAAAATGAATGATCTTTTCTTAAACTTTTTAAACAAAATTAAAAATTTTCTACTAGAAAATTTCTACTAGAAAACAAAAGAAAAAAAACTGATTAGAATTATGCATTCATATGATTCAAATTAATGCAGGAGCACATTGAGTAGCAGAATATTTATATGTCTTTCAGAAAACGCCGACATAACAGTGGTGTGTGGAACCAGTCAAATGTTTTTAAAAGTTTTCATTTGTCCAAT